GCACTATGAAGCCATCTCCAACCGCTGCAGCAAGTTTGATCCCCCGCCAAGGAGGTGACACACATGGCACAGCAGACCTCTGCTATCTCGCCCACTGCTCCCCTCAGCAGTGTATTTCAGTTAATCTGCCCGTTCTACTCCCCACTCTGTCTCTAGTGACTCCTTTTCACCCCCTGCACCTCTGGCCTATGCCCCAGTTCTTGTATGCATAAATAAATAAATTTTAAAAAAAAACCTATGTACACAGACAGAGTTGCACATGAATATTCAAGGAAACAATGTTCTTAATAGCCAAAAGTGGAAAAAAACTAAATGTCTATGCAGTGTGTCGTACTCCCATACATTGTAATGCTATTCACAGTAAACATTGGGACATTCTAAATTACAGGATGTCCCTATTTACTATTATATTCAGTGAAATAAACCAGACACAACTGATTGCACATTGTATGATTCTATTTATATGACATGACCAGAAAAGGCAAATTGATATAAGAATTAGATTACTGGTTGGATGGGAGGCAAGAATAGGGATCTGCCATAAATGGACATGCTGGGTTTAGAATAAAAAATCATCCTAAAATTGATTGATACTAATTATTGTATCACTCTGTAGTTATTTTAAAAATCACTGAATTTACACTTGAAATGAGCAGATTTTATGACACTTAATAAAATCTTTTAAAAAATAAAGGTTTTCCTCAGACATGAAAAACCTGAAGAACATATAACCTATGAACCTAAACTGTAAGAAATGTAGGTAGAAAGAAAATGATAGCACATGACACATAGATGGCTCTAAAAGAAGATCGATCATCAGAAATGGTAACAAGTATAATTCCTTAAGGATTGCTATCATGATCTCTTTAAAAGATTATACAACAATGGGGCTTCCCCAGTGGTGCAGTGGTTGAGCGCTGGGCTGCGAAGTTGCCCGCAGCCTCTGCAGCGCCGGTTCGATCCCCGGCCTCTGGGTGAGGGTCCCACATGGCAGGCAGACCTCTCCTGCAGCCCGCTGCTCCCCTCAGCAGTGTATTTCATCAGTCTGCCTGTTCTGTTTCCCGCTCTGGCTCTGGTGAATCCTCTCACCCTCCCGCGCTTCTGACTGTACCCAGTGCTTGTATAAATAAATACATAAATCTTTAAAAAAAAAAAAAAAGATTATACAACATTAAAAAAATTTGACAACAGCACAAGAGAATGGTATACATATTATTTTATGTGAAGTGGTATGGTATCACTTGAAGGTAGATGGTGTTAAGTTAAAGACATATACTATAAATCTACCATGAAAATAACAGTCAGGAGTGGGCAGAATCAGAAAAATGGAATAAAAAAGAGATGGGGCGGGGGGGGGGGGGGGGTGGGCCTCCCGGTGGCACAGCGGTTGAGCGCTGGGTTGCAAAGCTGCCCGCGGCCTCTGCCGCGCCGGTTCGGCCCCCGGCTGCTCCCCGGCCAATGGAGGAGGGTCCCGCATGGCGCGCAGACCTCTCCTGCCGCCCGCTGCTCCCCTCAGCAGTGTACTTCGGTCCTTCTGTCTGCCTGCTCTGCTCCCCGCTCTGGCTCTGGTGAATTCTCTCACCCTCCCGCGCTTCTGACTGTACCCAGTGCTTGTATAAATATAAATAAATAAATCTTAAAAAAAAAAATGTTAAAAAAAAAAAAAAAAGAGATGGGGGAAAAAATCATAATCATCAAGATGATAAATTTATACCCAACTATATCAATAGTTGCATTAAATGTAAATGCGTGTTTTGGGGGAAATGGATATGTTCATTATCTTAACTACAGCTATGGTTTCACAGGTATATGTACATGTTGAAATTTTTCAAGGACACTCTAAGTACGTCAATACTGCACATATATAGCATGTATGTCAGTTATACCTCAACAAAGCAGTTTTAAAAATCAACAGCAAAATTAAAAAAATCTAAAATATCTTCAAAAATTATCTTTAAAAGAGCAAGAAAGGAGACACAAAGAAAAACACAAATACAAAGAAAATAAACAAGAAATGGTGATTTCCAATTTATCCATGTCAATAATTATATAAACATTAATGGACTTAAACAGACAAATTAACATGAGATTATCAGATTAAGAAAAGACTCAACTGTATTATCTATATAAAGAAACACTCTAAATATAAAGATAACAAAAGGCTAATTTTGGTAATTTAATGTAAATTAATGGCAAAAACAGACAAACAAGAAGCATAAGAAGTCCAGAGTAGTTCAATTTTTATCTAAAGAAAACAGGTTTAAAAGCAAAATTAACAGAGATAAAGGATATTTCACAAACTTCAGAATAAAGACTGAAGAATAATACAAAAAGCTTGAAATAAATGAAAGAAAAACTAGAAGAATTACAGAGACAATTCTGCAATCATAGTTGGACATTTTTAACATATCGCTGTGCTCACAGAGTAACTAGGTAAAAAGTTAATAAAGACACAAACACTTCCATATAACACTATTACAACCTTATCTTATTTGATAGACATAAACACACATATATATATACACAAAATATCAGAAACAGCAGGATAAAAATTAATGAAATATACACTGGGACATAAAGGAAAATGCAATGAATTTAAAATGACTATACGTTACTGTCCCTGACCACAATAAAATCAAGTTAGAAATAACATAAGATAATCAGAAAAAAACACAACAATTTATGAAGTAAACAAACACACTTCCAAATCACCATGTCAAGGAAGAAATAACAGAAGGAATAAAAATCATTTTTAGCTGTATGGAAGTAAATACACAAGAGGTCAAAAACTATGCGGTTCAGTAAAGCAGCACTCAAAAGGAAACTTAAAGCTTTCAATTACTATAGTAGAAAAGTTTTATCAAAATCTAAGCTGTAATCTTAGTAATCAGGAAAATTATTCAAATCAATGTAAACAAACCAAAAACACCAAAAGTCATACTGCTAAATGAAAGAAGCCAATCTGAAAAGACCTCATAATGTATGATTCCAAACTATTGAACATTCTGGAAAAGGCTCAACTATGAAGTCAGTAAAAAGACCAGTGATTGCCAGAGGCTCTGAGAATTTTAGGCAGTGAATATACTCTTCATAAAAATGTAATGAGGCATACACGTACGTATATATTTGTCCAAATCATAACTTTTATACCACCAGAGTGAACCCTAAGGTAAACTAAGGACTTCTGTTGTGATTATGATGGGTCAATATAGGCTCATCCATTGCAAAAAATGTATCCTCCTGTGACAATAGTTGATAACGAAGGAGACTATCCATGGGTGGGGATATAGGTTATGTGGGAAATCTCTGCATAGCACTATGATACCTTTCAACTTTATTCTGAATCTAAAACGGATCTTTAAAAAGTTTAAAAAAAATTAAAAAGAACAAAGTTGAAGGACTTATACCAACAAGACAACATAAAGCATAGCATAACATAATCAAGACAACGACATAAGGATCTACAGGTCTATGAAACCAACTAGTAAGTCTAGCAAAAAAACACACATTAATGGTCAATTAATTTCTGACAAAGAAGCCAAAATTCAATGGTGACAAGGTAAACTTTTCAAGAAACAGGTCTGGAACAACTGAAAAAAGTAAATTCAGTCCATACCTTGCACCATCTACAAAAACTAACTCAAAACTTACCTAATTTGAATTAATGTTGTAAATTTAATATTTTAGGAGAGATCAATTGCTAAGAAATTGGTTTAGGCAATTATTCTCAAGCAAGACCAAAAAAAAAAAAAAAAAAACATACGCCAAAAAAATTATATTGGGCTTCATCAAGATTAAAATGTTTTGCTTTTCAAAAAGTCAGAGTTAAGCAAACAAAAAGGTAGCCACACTAGTAGAAAAACAGAGTATATAAAGAGTATATAAAGAATTCTAACACAATAAAACATACAATTTGATTTTTTTAAAGGGTAAAAGGTATTAACAGACATGTCACAAAACACACAAATGGCAAAAAGCACATGCAAAGAGGCTCGATATTATTAGTCATCAGGAAAATATAAATTAATCCACTATTACACACCCACTGGAATAGTTAAAAGTTAGAAAGAGGAACAATTCCAAGTGCTAGCAAGGATGAGAAGCAATCCAAATTTTTATATGTTACAGGTAAAGACATAAAATGGCACAACCACTTTTGGAAAACACTATCAGTTTAAACATACATTTACAGTAGGATCCAGTCATTCCTCTCTTAGGTATTTACCCAACAGAAATGAAAACATAAATCCACTTGAAAATAGTTATACAGATGTTAATAATAGCATTATCATAAATAGCCAAAAATAGAAAAAAACTAAATCAGCATCTGATGATGGATTAACAAATGTGGTATTGACACCCTAGGTAATAATGTTCCGAAATGAAAAGGATCTAAGGAAGATCCTTTTAGCTAGCTGAAGTGATGGGGGCCAGCCAAACTATATATTTAGTACTGGGTTGGAAATGGTATGGAAGGGCAGAGTGTTATGGAGTCCACAGAGGCCCCAGTTAAGGAGAAATGGACCTTAAGACACAAAGAGCCAGAGAGCTATGGGTTCATACCCATATGAAAGTTTGCAAAATGCCAAACCCAAAACATAAATGAAAAGAAACAAAATTCTAGTATACATGATATGGCTAAATCCAAAACCATTATGCTGTCAGGGTTAGAGAACTTTTTCTGTAAAGGGCCGGAAAGTAAATGGTTTAGGTTTTGCAAGTCACAGGATCTCTCACACGACTATTAAACTCTTCAAAAGTAGACATAATTAGTGCATAAAGAAATGAGCATGCCTGTGTTCCAATAAAACTTTATTTACAAAAACTGGCACAAAGCTGGATTTGGCCCACCTGTGGTTTGGTCACTCCTATGCTAAGTGAAAAAAGTATTCCTGAAGGATACAAACTACATTTTAAGATTCTTTATAAGTCTCTTAGCTTATCAAAGCGCTAAAGCTAAATACTAATACTCAAGACATAGTCAGATTAAGAAAAATTACCTGTGGATCTGATCTTGTCTGCTAGAGCGAACTGGAGCCAAGCCATCTATTTCATCAAAAAATATTATAGAAGGTCTCATCAAATATGCCTATAATAAAAAAATTAATAACCATTGGTTTTTATTTTTTAATTTAATTATTATCTTTTCTTAATAGGTAACATAAAGCAAATGATGCAACATGCAGCAGTGTAAAATGGAAATCTATCACCCCAGTCTCCGACCACAAGGTCTTCTCCCAGTAGTTAATACTGGTTTTGGTTTTTTTATTCTTCCATATGCATTATTTATACACTTAGATAAAATTTTATTTTTAAACATTTTTATTTTATCTTACATATTTAAAAGACATTTTTTATACATACGGTACACATCACTTTTGTCACACAACAAAGCATTTATATGTATTTTAATTAGCTCCCATATAACTACATAGAGATCTGCCTCATTCTTTTTTTAACAGCTACAAATGCCCCTCTATATGAATGTACCATAATTAAGTTAGTTCCCTATTCATGGACATTAAGGCTGTTTTCAACCTTTCCTATTATTAATAACACCTGAATAAATACTGATATATAACCAACATCTAAGTATAGTAATATAATAATTTCAAAAAGGAGAACTACTGACTCAAAAAGGATGCATCCTTTCTAATTTAGTTAGACATAAGCAAACTGTGCATTAATGCACCAGCTGTCATTTTTTTCTGACACCAAAGGCCAAACTCCTAGTCAACATATCTCCTTCATTTCATTTAGTGCAAAGGTCATACAGATTATTTCATTTAAAAAGATAAATAGTAACTACCAGCAATTTTTTTAAAAAGCAAGCAAATACTGCAACTATTATCTACCAAGAAAACTATAAAACAGAAATAAAATAAACTTAGTTTAAAAAGCAGAATGGTTTGTGCTGTGATTTATTTTTTAATTTTTTTTTTAATTGAGGTAACACTGGTTTACACTGTTGTTTATATTTTAAAAATATAGGATAACCCCCTTTCGGTGTATGGTACAGTTTTACCTTTGCTTTATTTTTGTTTTGGTATGCTGTGGTTTTGAATGAAACCAAGAGACACTGATACTCATATCGTGAAGTGGCTAAAAAGTGTAACTCTCAAAGTTTTTTGATTAGTTACTGGGCAATATACTAGCATTCCCAAGCAAATTTCTCCCTCATCTACCAATGTTATTTTATATTTATATCATTCAATTGTCTTGAAACATACAGATTATGTGGTTTGACTTCCTAGAAGACACTGAGCACCTTGAAGTTTAAGATTTTTGCCTTATTCTTCTCTCTAAATCTATTATCAAGAACATGGCAGTTTTTAATACTAACAAAAACTAAAAATAATATCTGAAGTGCTTTACCAATTAGAAAACATTTTTACACATATCAACTCAGTAATGGGTTCTTAAATGCTTATTGAACACATGTCAATTTAGATATAATCAAATATGAACGACTACCTTCATTGGCTCACATGATCAAAAGTGACTTTACATCACAACTAATTTTTACAAATATTAGGAAATATTTTTAAGTTAGTTACAAACAGTAGAGATAACTTACATGATATTCACCTTATCCTGCCTTTTAAAAGCATTCATTACTTTTTAATTACTCCAGAACCATATTTACAGCTCATGAAAATAAATAATAAACTGTGTGGTGAGATTTCCTACATACAGATAGATTTAACTTTTTAATCTTGTTCGATTTCCTCAGTTATATTACAATCGAGTGATGTATCCAGAGTGCTCAAAAACACCTAACATGGTATTAAGTGCCTAATAGTCACCTCAATAAATGTTTTGTGAATCACCATAAATAATCAAAAGTACTAAGACTACTGTTATATACATCACATACAAATTCAGAATATTGACTCTAAATCTAACATAATGATTGAAAAATATGCCTCCTCATAAGGAGTTTGTAGTATAGACTAAATGTGTTAAATATTCTAAAGAAGATATTCTCAAATTACCTGACTTCTCTTACCTGATCAAAAAGTAGCCTAAGTTGCCTTTCAGATTCACCAACCCACTTGCTCAGACAGTCTGCTCCTTTTCGCATAAAAAAAGCCACCTTTTTGTCTCCTTGACTGCACTCATTAGCTAATGCTCTGGCTACCAAGGTTTTACCTGTGCCAGGAGGGCCATAAAACAAACAGCCCCTAGAAGAATAAAGTATCAATAAAAGAACATTAATCTTATCACCACTACTGAAAATCAATATCAAAAACATGTTTCTTATATAATTTTGTATGAATATATAATTATTAGGCAGTGATGAGGCTTTTATAGTAATGGAAAAGTATTTTGCTGAGAGATCTTTTTTGTAATTGTGAATCTATGTATTTACTGATTTTGATTTTTTCCCCCACATGTGCACATGTTCCACTCATCCTACTTAAAGCTTAAAGCACCAGGCTTTTGGTATGCAAGAATTAAATGGGATTATGAGTAATTGAACAAAGTATCAAAATTGTAAATGTGTTTTTCCTGTGACTTAGAAATTTCTGATGTTAGAATGCATCACACAGAAACACTCAAAAAAAGTATACAAAGATTGATTTTAAATAAATGTTGAATAGAATGTGGTCTATAATTGTGAAGAACTGAGAAAACCTATAAAAGCTATATTAATAAAGGACACATAGAAGTACTCTGTTACATCTGTAAAATAAAATACCCAAACAGTGTCAGAAAGAATAATAAGCATATTATTGACATGGAAAAGTAGCTAGAACACATTGCAAAATAAAAAACAAAGTATATATAAGAATTTTATTGAATAATCCTATTTATATTAAATGGCTATAGGTGTATAACACAGGCAAAATATAATAATATATACATGAATGTATAAAAGAAACTTATGTAAGAAGTAGGATTATTTTCTTCTATCAGTTTCTGCTTACAAGTTTCTCCCAAGATCATACTACATTCATGACTACAAAAAAACTATTTTAAAATTTCAAGTTACAGCACATAAAAAAGCAAATAAATTGCTATTTATAGAAAGTCACCAAAGGCCTACATTTTAATCCAGTCAAGTAAACAATGACTCTTTAAAAAGTTTTTCCAAATCCTGAAACACGTAATAAAATTAGAACCAAATCTGAATAAAAAGCACCTCAATAAAAATAACATTTTGCAGTTTAGATCAGTCTGTATGTACATCTTTAGAATATTTTATTCTGCTCAAATTCCCACAACATAACTTCTCAGCCTTTTCTAATAGTTAACTAGCTAATGATCTCATGAATGATTATTTTAATCATTAAAAAAATTATCAAACTTAACTATTTCAAAAATATTATATTGTCAAGTCAAAAGAAACATTCCATTGTGCTTCCAAGACTAAGCAGAGAGCATCAAACTCAGTGCTATTAGGAAGCCAAATCAAGGAAAATCCACCTAGGCAACACACTTGCGTATTCAAACCCGCACAAAGAATCTAATCTGCCTGTCTCCTAAATGCTGAAATGTGAACTTCAAAACACACTTACATGCACAGTTTTTTGAACTCTAAGTAACAAAATTTCATTCCTATTCTCATTGTTATAGCACATCAACTAAATATGTATGAAATATTTATATGTATAATCATTTAATTAATTGAAATGTGCTGAATTAGCAGTAATATAGTAATAAATATCTAGGACATACATACCTTGGAGGCTGAATTTTAAATTTTTCAAAGATTTCTGGATATAAAAGTGGGAATACAACCATTTCCTTTAGTGCATGAATATGATGGCTCAATCCACCTATGCTATCAAACCGCACCTTTGAAAGAAGGGGAAAAGCTTAATATGAAAACAATTTCAACTATTAACAGAATTTTTTAATTGTGAGCTAGCCTTATGATTCAGAAATGCATGCCTTCGTAGGAATTATTCAAAAATGTACACTTCTGAAATAAAAGTAGAAAAATAAATTTGGCAGTAAAATTTCAGTTCAGTCAAATTAAACTATCATTATCTCCTAGTAACTAAGAATCATGATTAATAACGAATCTAAAACTTACATGGTTATCTATAGGAGATGTTCTGTTGTGTTTACACTCTAATAATGTAAATGCCTTTCAAAATTTTACCTACCGCATGCATTCTCAGTAAGGGCAATATTGTTCCCAAGGGTACAAAAAGTAGTTCAGGAGTAGACAGGAAAAAGCTTAGTTCTTACAATGGCTTGTACCCCTTCAAAGTTCAACTTTACCTAACAAACCCTTCTTTAATATTTTATTTATCTAGATCAGGAGAAATTTAATTTTTCTCCTTAGGAGACAAAGTAAAAAGTCTAAGAAACACTGGTTGATCAAAAGAAGCAACAGAGATTATCACCCCACCCCCAGCCCCCAAAACAGTTTAAATATCATTAACACTGTTTTTAAAAAAAAAAAAATTGTATAGGAAAAAAGCACCTTAGGAAAATTTTGGGTTTTTTAATTTTATTTTCATAAAAGAACTGGGATGTAGACCAGAGGTGGGGAGGGTGGGGGAGGAGGAAGATGATTCACCAGAGACAGTGGGGAGCAGAACAGGTGGGTTTACTAAAATACTACTAAGGGAAGCTGTGGGTGAGACAAGAGAGGTCTGCTGCACCATCTGTAGGTTAGCTCCCTGGCCAGGAATTGAACTCAGGCCAAAGAGGTGGTAGCACTGAGACTTAACCCCTAGGTCAATTGTCTCTATAGGGTAATGGGAGATTTTGTTCCCTGTTTTTACTCTGTGGTGATACTTGAAAATGCTTTTATAAGAGACATTACTATTGTAACAGGAAAAAAAATAAGCAATCTAGACAAACAGTTTAAATGACAGAAACATTCTAAGAGAAGCTAAATTTTCTTTATTATTGCCAGCTTTGCATGCCCCAAATTCATGCAAATTACATCATAGAGTTATCAATGTAGAATACAAATATGGTCATGAAATCTAAGCAGCTTCAACAATACCCCACTGCTTATCATGGTTATTGGGCCTTGCCTTATTTGTCAGCCTCATTTCCTACCTGTTTTTCATTATATATTCCAGAAACACTAAAATGGAAAAAAGGAAAAACCTGAGTAAGCATTACAAGGGATCAGGAGCTAGGTTTGATGTATTTTGATACACATCAAAACACTAATTATGATATCTGGATTATGTTGCATGTTGTTTTAGAAACAAGGAATAACTTTTTTTTAAAAAACTACATCTAAAAAATTTACAGAACTTACTGATTTATCGATGTTCATTGGATCAACATCAGCCAAGCTAGCACCCACTTTGACTCGTTCTCGGAGAATACCACTAGCTAAATCTTCTGCTCTCAAGTTCATTGGCAAACATCTGTAATTCATAAAAACCCAAGCAGATGGCATTAAAAGTTACACATTTTTCACATCAAAAATAAGTTTAAATCTTTGACACAGCTTTTTCTTTCCCCTTTTATTCATAACCCAAAAATAACACAGGATTACATATTTTTAAATTTTCTGAAGTCTTTTCAATTGACCAAAAAAAGTATTCACTAGATAAAGAAAACAAGATCATTAATACATTGTCCAAAGAGCCAAATCCAAATCTCTCACAAATTAGGAAAACTTCCTGATGTACCTGGCATTCCAGGTTATACGATTATATCAATTCACAATAACATACTACAGTATATGGCACTAAGTAAACTCAATTTTATTACAATATTTAAACTGATCCTCAGCTACTACATCAGTATGTTAACTCAGTTTACATGACTAAAGAAATTCCTTTCTCTTTTATTCAAAGGAAACCTATTCTAGATCACATATTAAGAATTAAGTCTTATCTTCTCTGAGTAACTGCCATTAAATAGAACTTTAGCTACCTACAATCTTATACTTTATTATTTAATTTTATTACCCCTAACATACTTCCTTCCTCTTCTAACCAGGGGAAAATACCACAAGATGACACAGATGACATAAACAGCTTCAAAAAAGTATAGCTTCTAGGGCCTCCCCGGTGGCGCAGCGGTTGAGCGCTGGGTTGCGAAGCTGCCCGCGGCCTCTGCGGCGCAGGTTCAATCCCCGGCTGCTCCCCGGCCACCGGAGGAGGGTCCCACATGGTACGCAGACCTCTCCTGCCGCCCGCTGCTCCCCTTAGTAGAGTACTTCGGTCCTTCTGCCTGCTCTGCTCCCCACTCTGGCTCTGGTGAATTCTCTCACCCTCCCGCGCTTCTGACTGTGCCCAGTGCATGTATGAACAAAACAAACAAACAAATAAATAAATAAAACATGCCTCTATTTAAAAAAAAAAAAAAAGTATAGCTTCTATAATGAACATAACTTCATCAACGTTCCTGAATCCTCACTTACCGGAAAAACATATTTTCAAAGTGGATATCAGAATAGGTGAGATTAAAAAGGCATCAAACTAGGGCCTCACTGGTGGCAAACGGTTAGGTCTCAGCACTATGAAGCTATCCACAGCCACAAGTTCGATCCCTGGCCAGGGAGCTGGCCCACATGGCGCAGCAGACCTCTCCTGTCTCTCCTGCTGCGCCCCTCAGCAGTGTATTTCAGTAGATCTGCCTGTTCTGCTCCCTAATCTGTCTCTGGTGAATCCTCTCACACACACACCCCCCACCTCTGGCCTACACCCCAGCTCTTGTATGCATAAATAAATCAATCTCTAAAAAAAAAAAATTACTAAATAAAAACCAAATAAGTGCATTACTCTAGTCTGAAATACATGTAGAATATTAGTGTCAGAAAAATGCTAGTATATATAAGAGTGCCACTCAAAAATTATAACTGTTCTTCCTTTATTCTACCGCGGAAATAACAATAAAAAATTTACTAGCCTATTTCTTGCTCTTGCCATGCTCTTTGATTTTCTTCTTTCAAAGCGTTCTTCATCAGAAGAAGTTGTGTCACTACTATGAATAGCATGCTTCTTTCTCCTATTTAAAGAGTAAAATCCTTAAAATCATTACTGCAGCAAATGGTTTTTAAGAACACACTGTAGCAACATGGATGGCGCTGGAAGGGATCATGCTCAGCGAAATAAGCCAGAAAGAAAAAGAAAAATACCGGATGGTCTCACTCATAGCAGGAATCTAGAAAACTTAAATAAGGGACCAGGAAAATGAATAACTAAGAAAGTGAAAATCAAAATCAACAAAAAACTATGAACCAGAGACACTTTTTGGGGGGTGAGGGTCGGGAGGGGAGGGATTGGGGTCAGAATGGGGGGGTTGCAATTGTATGGGGAATATAAAAATAAAATTAAGTCATATAAAAAAAAAAGAACACACTGTAGTATTACATCTATAATTAGCTTAATAAAAATTCATTCATTCAGCAAATATTTGTTAAGATCCTTGTACTCTTACAGTTAACATTTAATGAAGTATAAAGGTGGTAAGTTCTACAGAGAAAAAGAAAAAAAAGAGAGGATAGAGACCTTACAATTCCTTTAATAGGGTAGTTTAGGAAGGCAGTCAAGCAACAAATTTAATTTGCACCCAAATTTAGACAATACCTAGCATTAATTAATAAATAACATTAAAATCTTATTAGAAAAAAAGTTTATCTTTTTCTTCTCTGGTTTTTTCTTTCCCCAAAAAATGAGAAACAGTCCAGACATGAAAGCAAATAATAAACTGGTTTACAGGGAGACAAAAGCTTTTACTTCCCATTTAAGACACTGATACCCCGATTGTATTTCTCATAAAGAACTTTTGAGAGGAAAAATTAGTTTATAATCAGAACTACCATGGAATGATTAAATAATGTATCAGACTAAATTTATCCTCAAAAAGTAATACTTAAAGAATGAATGCTACATTATTAATATAACTGATAACATCTCTAACATAACTAGAAAACATAGTAATCATGTAAGTTGGAACTTACTTCAAACCCAAAATGGCCTTCAATGATGTTCCACAGCACAGGTATCCCTACTCTACTCCAATGCCAGTAAATTCAACAGCAACCCAAATTTTCCCCTACTCTCCTTAAGATCCTTAACCCATCTACTATTGCTTCTCATTACTATAAATAATTTCATTTCTACCTGTAACAGTTCATTTTTAATGCTTCCCAATACTTCAAGAAGATTGCTGCAACAATTATCCACTCAATCTTTGCAGTTCTGATATTTACCTTCTCTTCCAATTCTTTCTCTCCAACAGGAAACACTTGTTTCCAAGCATCCTACTATGTGTGTGTTTGTGTGTCCTCTAACATACAGAAATGTAATAAATCTGCCAATAGCAGCACAAATGAGATAGTTCAAAGAAGCAAAAGTGTACTGGGATAAAGAAATAACACCAGACAGTAACTCGAATGCACAAAAACAAAGAGACTCAGAAATGATTTTTTAAAAAGGTTAACATTACAACAACTATAAATGCATGCTTGCTTGTCTTTATTCTATTTTTTAAATTGAAATATATAAATTTATATAAATAATTTTAAGACTGTATTGTTATTTGTAAAATTTATAGATGTAATATGTGTAATAATAATATCACAAAAAGCTGGTAGTTGTGGGCAATTTCCCAAAAAGATTTTTAAAAAAGAAGAGATGACATTTTCCTTAAAAATTAACACAAAATGAATCTGAGATCTAAATCAGAGTTAAAATTCTTAGGAAAAAAAAATAGGAATAATTTTTATGGCCTCAGATTTCACAATGGATTCTTAGATAGAATATCAATATCACAAACAACAAAAGAAAAAAGAGAAAAAGTGACAGAACAACCCACAAATATTATTATCTGATAAGGAATAATAATATCTGATAAGGAATTCAAATCTATAACATATAAAGAGCTCTTACAACTCAATGATAACAAAACAAGCTTAATAAAAAAGTTTTAAATGACCACAGGACATGAAGAGCTATTTATCAAAGGAAGATAGAAAAATGGCCAGGAAGCACATGAAAAGAAGCTCAGTATCATTAGTCTTCAGGGAAATGCAAACCAAAACCATAATGAGATAACATGTTATACTCAACAGGATGGCTAGAATCCACAATTTAGACAATAAATGTTGAGTGAGAAACTGGAACAAATCTACACTGCTGGTGGGATTTTAAAATGGTGCACTCCCTCTGGAAAATGGTGAGGCTATTCCTACATGATTAAACATAGTTACATAACCTAGTAATTCAACCCTTAGGTATACTCAAGAGAAATAAAACTTGTACATGCATGAATTTTTACAGCATTATTATTCATAAAAGTAAAAAGCTGGAAACAACCCAAAAATGTCCACAATGAAGCATAAACAAAATGTGACATATTCGTGCAATGGAAAATTTTTAATCATAAAAAAGAATGAAGTACTAATATATGCTTCAACATATAAGCTTAGACAATATTATGTGAACTGAAAGAAGCCTGTCACTACAGAACACATAAAATATGATCTCATTTTATGAAATGCCCAGAGAGGGCACACCTACAGAGAAAAACAACCAATCAATAAATGCTCAGCAGATATGAACTATCACCAGAGAGGACATTCAGGAGACCAACAGATACATGGAAAAATATTCATCATCACTTTGAATAAGGAAGATTCAGGTCAAAACCACAATGAGATATCATCTCACACCCATAAGAATGGCAAACATTAGAAAGACCCCAACAACAAGTACTGGAGAAGATGAGGAGAAAGAGGAACCCTAGTACACTACTGGTGGGAATGTTATTTTGTAAAGTGATCTGGAATTACCTAAAAAGTTACTAATGGAAATAGTATACAATCCACCAATATACTCTTGAGCACTCAGCCAAAGAAAATAAAACCATCAGTGTAAAAACCTGTATGCTTTACAGGGCCTCACTGGTGGCACAAGGGTTAAAGTCTCAGCACTATCAAGCTATCCACTGCATCAAGAGTTTGATCCCCAGCCAGGAAACAAACTCACATGGCACAGCAGACCTCTCCTGTCTCACTGGCCTTCTCTCCACCACAGTGTATTTCAGTAAATCCACCTGTTCTGCTCCCCACTCTGTCTCTGGTGAATTCTCTTACCCCCTACACCTCTGGCCTACACCCCAGTTCTCATATGCACAAATATATTAAAGTAAATCTTTTTTTAAAAACCTGTACACTTTACAATGTTTATTGCAGCATTATTTACAATAGGACAGCAAGGAAATGGAAACAACTTAAGTGCCCACTTATAGCTAACTGGACCAAGAAGACATAGTATATCCACACAATGGCATACTACATAGCCACAAGAAGAAATGTTGTCAATCACACCTAAATGGAATGAGTTCACGGAAATTATGTGTAGTAAAGCAATTCAGAATGACAAAGATAGGGCCTCCCAGTGGCGCACCGGTTGGGTGCTGGGTTGCGAAGCTGCCCGCAGCCTCAGCAGCGCTGGTTCGATCCCTGGCTGCTCCCTGGCCACCGGAGGAGGGTCCCACATGGCGCGCAGACCTCTCCTGCCGCCCGCTGCTCCCCTCAGCAGTGTACTTCAGTCCTTCTGCCTGCTCTGCTCCCTGCTCTGGCTCTGGTGAATTCTCTCACCCTCCCGCGCTTCTGACTGTACCCAGTGCTTGCATAAATAAATAAATCTTAAAAAAAAAAAAAAAATGACAAAGATAAATATTCCACATTTACATAGAGAATGATCTGACAATGCAAAATACCTATACAAACTAGGAGACACTAATAAACAAAGTGAAGTTGCTGACGTTAAGAGAGCAGTGAGAATCAAAGAGATAGAGGGATGGTAGTAGGGGGAACAAACACAAAAACAAAGACTCCTTTATATCTTCACACAAAAGGACATTAGGGAGCAAAGGTAGCAATAACTAATCAAATCAGTGATTCAAAGGAAAACAATGCGAGTAGTTTATACTCAACTCCACTGAGAAATCAGAGACGTACAGCTTTAAAAAACATAATTATCAAAACAGTAAGTATTCCAGGCACACTGAACTATGACAGTAATAGTCACACAAAGGATAATAACTATTAGCCACTAATTGAAAAAGGAAAGACCCTATTTAGTCCCTCATTGACATTATCATTAACAGAATACCTATATTCTAATTATAAAGCATTACATAATGTACTAAAGGCTGTATCTAAGTGACAGACATACATATCTCCTCCTTTCAAAACCAACAAAACATACCTGATATGGCTTCTTCTTGCTGGAGATCTGTGAATATCAAAGAGTGTGCTTTCCCTCTTTTTTTGATGAGCTGGTACTTGAAAGAAAAAAGAAAATGTAACATAGAAATAACAATAAAATGACAAATTAATGCATTAAAGCAGTAGAAAATACTTCTGCTAACTTTCTGAATGGAAGCAAGCCATATATTTTTAGGCTCCAAAGGTTTTCTGGAAGAACACAGTGAAAATTGAAATTTTGTGGCAATACACTAGATTGCAAATAAACATTGTAAAATAAAGTTAAATTAAAGATTTATAACTTTGGGTTTAAATGAAGATTTTTCAGATGCAATACCAAAAGCACAATCTACTCAAAAAAACTGGCAAATCAAAATTACTAATTTTCCTTTCGAAAGACACTATTAAATGAAAAAAACAAGTTACCAAAAAAAATTGCAAATCACCTGATAAAGTATTGATGTCCAGAATATTACTCAGTAAGGAAATAAAATACTTAATTTTTAAAAATAAGTAAGAGTGTGGCCTCCCTGGTGGCGCAAGGAGTTAAGATGCAGACTATGAAGCTATCAGTAGCCACTGCAGCACTAGTTCAATCCCCGGATGGCCAGGGAGCAATCCACATGGCGAAGCAGACCTCTCCTGACTTGCCCGATGCTCCCCTAAACAGTGTATTTCAGTCATCTGCCTGTTCTGTTCCTCACTCTGTCTCTGGTGAATCCTCTCACCCCCTGCACCTCTGGCCTGTACCCCAGGTCTTGTATGCATAAATAAATAAATCTTAAAAAAAAAAATATAGGGCCTCCCCAGTGGTGCGGCGGTTGCACGCTGGGCTGTGAAGCTGCCCGCAGTCTCTGCAGTGCCAGTTCGATCCCCGGCCGCCGGGCAAGGGTCCCACATGGTGCGCAGACCTCTCCTGCCGCCCGCTGCTCCCCTCAACAGTGTACTTCGTCACTCTGCCTGTTCTACTTTCTGCTCTGGCTCTGGTGAATTCTCTCACCCACCTGCGCTTCTGACTGTACCCAGTGCTTGTATAAATAAATAAATCTTAAAAAAAAAAAAAAAAGTTGCTGCTAAGATGAAGTAAAACAACAATTAAAAAAAAAAATAAGCAAGAGATCTGAACAGACATTCACCAGAGTTAACACTGGCAAAACAGTACATAAAAGATACTCAACATCACTAGTCATTGGGAAATGAAAACAGTTTGACAATTTCTTAGAAAGTTAAATATATATGTCATCATAAAACTCAGTCATTTCACTCCTACGTATTTATAAGAAAAATGAAAACATATATCCAAAGACTTGCACGTGGAAAGTTGATAACAACTTTATAACAGGCAAACGCTAGAAATGTCAACAATTCAAAAACCTATAAACAAGCAAATGGTAAAAATAATTATGCTACATTAATACAAATTTATTGCTGATAATGCTACTTGACAAAAGGAACACACTATTGTTATATTCAACATGTACAAGTCTTACAATAATTGTGCTGAGTGAAAGAAGTCAAGCAAAAAAAGAATATACCATATATAAAATTTGAGGAAATATAAACCAATGTGTTGTGACAGAAAACAGATTATATCAGGGTTGCCTAAGAAATGGGAATAAAGAGGAACAACAAAGTTATTAGTAGATTACAAACAACAGGATGAAATTTGGGGGTTTGATGAACTTGTTTATTAAGCTGATTGTGATGAGTTTCACAGGTATGTAAACTAAAGTATATCAAACTTGCCAAATTGTACACATTAAGCATGTATAACAGCAATGGACTTATTTCAGTAATACCTTAATAAAGCTCTTTTAAGCAAATAAAACTAGTAAAAAGGTTCACAATCTTTTGGCTCTCTTGACACACCTCTGCCATTATTAACAGGGCCATCTATCACAATGACTCCTAACTGGAGTAGAGGGATGTCTGCACAGTTGGGCAAATTTCTAGTAAGATAACAGTATACCCCCTTCCAGATATCAATCACTGTTTCACAGCATAAAAGTTTGAGTAAAAAGATCTAGTTCTTTATGCTAAGTGAAAGAGACAAAAGGTCATATATAGGCAAACCTACTGAGGTAAAAAGTGCATTATTACTTGCAAAGGGCTGGGGGATAAAGTATAGAAATATTAAAATGTTCTGATATTAGATAATTACTGCACAACTTTGTGAATATACTAAAAATCCGAGTTATACATATTAAAAATCATCAAAAATTGTCAATATCATGAAATGTGAATTATACCTTAATTTAAAAAAAATTAAAGAGGACGAATAATGAAGACATTTCCCAAGACTAGGAAAAAAATCAACAAAACAGCCCTGTGAACTGGTTACTTGTCATTGCATTACATTTAAAGTATCTCTTTCTCAAAAAATAAAAAACAACAACCCTGGGCCTTCCTGGTGGCACAGGAGTTAAAGATAGCACTATCAAGCTATGGCCAGCCACTGCAGCATGAGTTCGATCCCTGACCAGCCAGGGAGCTAATCCACATGGCGCAGCAGACCTCTCCTGTCTCGCCTGCTGCTCCCCTCAGCAGCATATTTCAGTAGACCTGTGTGCTCTGCTCCCCGCTCTCTCTGGTGAATCCTCTTGACCCCCACACCTCTGGCTTATACCCCAGTTCTTGTATGCATAAATAAATAAATCTTTAAAAAAAAAAAACAAAAAACCTAGGTCACTGGTAAAGCTATAGTCATGTATCACCTTTATGACCTTGGCTAAATTACTTAACTCACTTGGAACACAGAGATATTTGCCCTTAAGAACTGCAGTAAATTAGAGTACTCAGTAAACTATAAAGTAATAGAAAAATATAAGCAGTATTCATTATTAAATTTAAGGTTCTATAAATAAAGTGTATGTGCTCTGTGGAATTCTATATTGCCGCTGTGTACTTTCTTTCAGTTGTATGTGTGAATAGAATTCTACTATAGGAAAGATGTCTGGAACCAATAAGAGATTTCATTTTTTTAAATTTACTAACAGGAACTTTTTTAAAGGGCTCGGAGCAGAATAAGCTACTCAACTACAGAAAGTAAAGAAGTTATGTAGAGTCTTCTACCTATTGGAGGTGCCTGGTATCGATCCACTGTTTTTCTTTGTCTCAAATTATATGGTCTATCATTTTCTTCTCCTTCTGCCTCTTCAACTTCTATATCTCCATCCTCCTCTTGAGATTCTGGTTTCCCCACACAAAAGAAAAGAAAAAAATCACTGCCTTAAGTCACAAAGACTGGTCCCCCCCCAGAACTAAATATTTATATTTTATCTCTTATTCTTGCTGCATAGGTGATACTAAAAAGTGTCAAAACTTTTATGACAAAACAGAAGTCAATATGGTTAAAAAGTCAACCTAGGTAGATATAAGTAAATGCCTTTCCTACAAATAATGAATATTGTTTTCTACAAAATAAGTCAGTTATTCTTTTTTATAAAGTGTTTTTACAAACCTTCTTCTTCACCCTCAGTAGAAACTTCATGATGATTCTGTATCCCATAACTATTTCTTCTCAAAGACTTCCTTCGTCTTTTCACTCTTGAATACATATCCATGTTTTCCTTTTAAAAAGAGAAATCTGTCAAGTATTAACATGCAACTTATTCTCTACTATAAATATGATTAACCCAATGAGACATACCCACTCAATAAAATTTACTGAGCATCTATTTTCAAGGCACATATTCGTGCAGAATTCCCTGAATTCAAGAGACATAAAGGGCAAGAGAAAAAAATAAATCTTACAAAATATTTGAAAACTAAAAACTACATTGTCATCAATACACTAGAACAAGATCAGTCACAAATGACTAAAAAGAGAGTAAAACAAGTTAAACATCGTAAAGAAAGACAGAAAGAATCCTAGAATTCAAAGAGATGCCCCTCTACCTGCTAATGGTGGTAGGGGGAGGAAGATGAGACAGCATTTGCTATGAAACAAAAGTACCAGAAGTATTAACAAAAAGTGAGATAGGAGAGTATCTACTTTATATCTGTGCAATGGTATGAGAAGATCAAGTTGAAACCACATCATTAAAGTCAAGATGCTTTTAATTGACTCAGTGCCCAATGAAAAATTAGAAGTTCAGATCAGAAAAGTGACATAATCATAATCCCCAAAGTACACTGGAAATGAAGACAGAACAATTCTACTAATACAAGAAAATCCATGTGTTGTTCATTTTCCCTTTGAATTCCTTCATCAAAATTGAAAAGTACTTGCAATGATTGTTAAAATACTTACAAACTCTGTATCTGTCCACATTCGAAGTCGTTCTACTTCTCCTGACCGACGATTCCGTCTAATGTTAATGTTATCCATTTCCTGCAGCACAGCTTCAGCAGTACTATGATCATAAAATAAAATGAGTTCATAAAATGAGACCATACGCTGTGTCTTCCATGTAAAGGCATAATAAATAATTTCTGACAATGGGTTAAAAAAAAAAAAAGATGGAAACAGAACATCTTCTGCCTTAATATATTTATTTTAAAAAAAACTTACAAAACAGAAGACTTTTTTAATAAGCCTCCAATATTTAAATCCATAATGCTACTACAAACAATTAACTACCAGCTCCAAGGCACAAGGGCGGGGAAAAACTAATTCAATCTTTTTATTTGAAGGTGGAAAGAACTCCTCTAAAATAAAGGATCTGTAAGTATAAAGCCAAAATAAGATCAACTAAAAAGACTACTGTTAGAAATTAGAGAATAGTGACATCTACAAATACATGCTAACTTCTTGGCCCATTTTACCTTTTAAACACAGTGCTATAGCAGTTGTGTATCCAAATACTAATTAAGTGCTTAACATATAATAACTAATACCAAATTTGACATTACTACTATAGGATATTTCTTCTGTTAAATAGGAACTATATACTATTATATTTCTAGCCACTACAAGGATTAAGCAGGATGATTTATTAGCTGAGGATAAATTTTCAGTGGCTATAGATGCTGAGCACTCACTTAGTCTCACTCACTAGCTACATCCCACACACCCTGTCTGCAAAGACCTTCAATTCAAACTTCTTTTGAAAATTTTCTTAACTACGCACACTATACTTACTATTTATCAATAATGGAACACATGGTTGCTTGAAAATTGTTAAAAACACAAATGTTAAATGAGCAAATATTAAGAGCACAGTGAAAAATTTTTAATTACTTTTTGTATTATCTAACTATGCATAAGAGCTTAAAAAGGATGAGAAATATCTGGCCATCATGTAAACTGTATTAAATCAAATAAACTGATTAGAAATTGATAATCAATACTAACCACTGTTAATTCAACTTAAGTTTTTATATAAAGATACTTACAGCTGAGTAAGTGCTTGGGTTATTTTTTTTTAAAGCACAACTGGCTTAAGAATCAAATGAGGGCCTCCTTGGTGGCACAAGGGGTTAAGCACCGCACTATGAAGCAGTCCACAGCCTCTGCAGCACGAGTTAGGTCCCCAGCCGGCCAGGAAGCAACCCACATGGCGCAGCAGACCTCTCCTGACTTGCCCGCTGCTCCCCTCAGCAGTGTACTTTGGTCAATCTGCCTGTTCTGTTCCTCACTCTGTCTCTGGTGAATCCTCTCACCCCCCACATCTCTGCCCTGTGCCCTAGCTCTTGCATGCATAAATAAATACATCTTTAAAAAAAAAAAAAGAATCAAATGAAATAGTTTACTGCATACCTATTTACTAGTTGATCAAATAACAAACTCTGGTTCACACTTTCAAATCTGTTTTTCCTGGAACGACAACTTTTTCTGACTTCCATGTCACCATTTATACAAGAAAGATCTCCATCTCCCTTTTTTTCCCCTCGAAGGGGATGGCTTCGAAGGGCTACAAGAAAAGAGAGAATTCCATTTCAAAGTACAAAGTAAGAAAAAAAAGAAACTAAAAAGTTACTTTTTTTTTTTAAATAATAAATTTTATTTTTATATTCCCCCATACAATTGCAAACGCCCCATTCTGACCCCAATCCTTCCCCTCCCGCCCCCCACCCCCCAAAAAGTGTCTCTGGTTCATAGTTTTTTGTTGATTTTGATTTTCACTTTCTTGTATTCATTTTCCTGGTCCCTTATTTAAGTTTTCTAGATTCCTGCTATGAGTGAGACCATCCGGTATTTTTCTTTTTCTTTTTGGCTTATTTCGCTGAGCATGATCCCTTCCAGCGCCATCCATGTTGCTGCAAATTGCATGTGTTTATCTTTTTTGAATGCTGAGTAATATTCCATGGTATATATGTACCACATCTTCTTGATCCAGTCATCTATTTTTGGGCATTTGGGTTGTTTCCAAAGCTTAGCTATTGTAAACAGTGCTGCTATAAACATAGGGGTGCAGGTGCTCTTTGGAATTGATGTTTTTCTGTGTCCTTTGGGTAAATACCTAGGAGTGGAATTGCTGGATCATATGGAAGCTCTATTTTTAGTAGGTCCAGAAATCTCCACACAGCTCTCCATAGTGGCTGGACCAGTTTGCACTCCCACCAACAGTGCAGAAGAGTTCCTTAAAAAGTTACTTTTAAAAGACTAAAATGGTTTAATATAACTTCTTAAGTGGCTTTAATATCCAATAACCTAAATTTCTGTAACTTTTAAAAACAATCATAATAATTTATTTCAGTTGTACTGATTTCTCAACACTTAACAATTACATGTTTTTACTATGAATGAAATAGTTTTTTCCTACTATGTGTTGACCATACCACGCACTCTATTTTCACCCCACTTTAATGCTTAGTCTGACAACATTGTAAGAATTTTAATATTAAACAGTTTCATAACAGAATACTTACATAAACTACTATGTCCATTTGGTAATGTAGCACCAGGCTGAGAAGTTAACCTAGAACACAATTATATTTAATATGCAAACATATAAACATTAATTTTTCAAAAGACAAGAAATGCAATACTATTAGAATATTTTCATCTTTAAAATGTCAGTAACATAAAATTACTTTTTTGAGAGTACAGATAACACTTTTTACTCTGACATTGATAACATACCAATTAATAAAATATACCAGCTAGTTAAGAATAATTTCATTAGTCAAGAAAAGTTTTAATAAGAGATTATAAGATGACCTTACTTTGTCTTCAACTCTGAAGTGAAAATCTAATGAAAAAGCTTAAGCTTAACACACACCATAAAGTTAACCAATCCCTAATTATGACAACAGACATTTACTATTGATTTTCATTGACAAAATGAAATTCAAATAATAACAAATTTATTCAGACAACAAACTGTAAGAAGTACTTGAAGGCCAATACCATCTAATACTTTCTTCTAAATATTTCATTGTACATTCTAAACTGACTTAAGAAAACTTAGCTAATATCTCAAATCATCATACAATTCTCCCTTTTGGGAAGAGAAAGAATATATGTCACTCAGAAGACACATATATGGCTATTAAAACATGGACTTAACAAAAAAAAGTCACAGAACACTTTTATATTAGTTCAAAACCAAAAACTAAATTGTTGCATAAAAGGACTCGTCAACATAAACTTATTAAGACATTTATAAAATATCCAACAATTATTAAAAAAATCAAAGGCACACTTAAAGAACAGCAAATATGTATGGTCTCTTTTACTATATGTTTTGCACAAATCTTTCAAACTAAAATAATGTAACTTTTCAGTATTCCAGCACTGTTCATGTCAAATTATAGATGTTAAACATTATAAATGTTAGTTATAAATACCCCTGCCTGCTAAAATACAGTCAGGATAACTAAAGGATGTGAACAATAACTCAAACAGTTATTTCTTCAGATTGTCAAAAAGAAAAACTCCAGGCTGTTTCCTCCAGAAAACAACAAAACTATCTTGTTCTAATATACTATATCTTGGAAAGTATTCTCTGTATAAAATGTACACAATTCTCCTGGCATATGAGTTTGACTATAAAGTGTTAAAAGTGGGGCCTCCCTGGTGGCACAAGGAGCTAAGCATCAGCACTAGGAAGCAATCCATAGCTACTGCAGCACGAGTTCGATCCCCAACCAGGGAGGTGACCCACATGGTGAGGCAGACCTCTCCTGTCTCGCCCGCTTCTCCCCTCAGCAGTGTGTTTCAATCAATCTGCCCATTCTGCCCCCCACTCTGTCTCTGGTGAGTCCTCTCACCCTCCGGCACCTCTGGCCTACACCCCAGCTCTTGTATGCATAAATAAATAAATTATTAAATAAATAAATAATAAAACTGAAGTATTAACAGGCCATAACTTAAGAGATTATACATGCGGAATTCCCTAAAATCACTCTCAAAATCTACTCAAAACCACATAGAGGGCCTCCCCGGTGGCGCAGCGGTTGAGCGCTGGGTTGTGAAGCTGCCCGCGGCCTCTGCGGCGCCGGTTCGATCCCCGGCTGCTCCCCGGCCACCGGAGGAGGATCCCACATGGTGCGCAGACCTCTCCTGCCACCCGCTGCTCCCCTCAGCAGTGTACTTCAGCCCTTCTGCCTGCTCTGCTCCCCGCTCTGGCTCTGGTGAATTCTCTCACCCTCCCGCGCTTCTGACTGTACCCAGTGCATGTATAAACAAAACAAACAAATATAATAAATAAATAAATAAATAAAAAAACATGCCTCTATAAAAAAAAAAAAAAAAACTATAAAAAAAACCACATAGAAAATCAATTTCATTACTTCATAATTATACTTTACTTTTAGATGCAGTAACTTTAACTCAGTTTGATCAGTTTATTCATAAGTTTTAATTCCAAATGAATTTTGTCTACGTGCAAAATCAAACAGTTGGTATTTATACACTTAAATTATTCACAAGAATAAGATACAAACCCTAAAGTTTGAGATAAGAATCTCAAACTATAGGCTTCCCCGGTGACGCAGTGGGTTGAGCACCGCGCTGTGAAGCTGTCCAGAGCCTCAGCGGTGGGGGTTGGATCCCGGACAGTCGGCGAGAATCCCACATGGTGCAGCAGACCTCCCCAGTCACTCCCACTGCTCCCCTCAGCAGTGTACTTCTGTCATCTGCCTGTTCTGCTCCCTGCTCTGTCTCTGGTGAATCCTCTCACCCTCCCGTGCCTCTGGCCTGTACCCCAGCTCTTGTATAAAAATAAAGAAATCTTGAAAAAAGTTTTTTTTCTGAACAATGGTAACACCATTTGGAAAAAAGCACAGTAAGTTTTTTGTTCCTCTGAAGACAACAATGCTTACTTGGTTTTTATTTCTAGAAAAAGAGGTCTGATTCACTCATTTAATAAATGCAGGATACAGATTACAAGAAGTAGGTCAGTCTAGAAGTGTAATTAAATGACTGCACTCATTTAAAATAACGTCATCTTATCACCCAGATCATTCAAAACATATTCTGGATCTGTTTCATCTTACAGATTAATGAGTATGGGAAGGGAAGGAAAAAAAAAAAAAATCAACAGACTGTGATTCCCAGACAATGCAAAATAAAATATTTAAAGTAATACCTAAAAAAAATAAAATAAAATAAAGTAAGTAGTACCTATTTTGATATACATTGTAATAGCTACAGACTCTTCAGGGACTAGTGCATGTATAACTTGACAAAAATCTAGATAACTCCAATGACTTTTTTCTATCAAAGAGGAACAGTATTCAGAATTCACCTACATATAAAATTGAAGTATTTTTTAAATTTCAAGGAGTTAAAAGAAACCAAAGAACTTCTTACCTGGCCTGCCCAGATGATATATTCCATTCCTCTCGCTGACCAGTACTTCGTGATTTTGATTTGTCTTTGCAAACAGAATCAGGTTGTTTCAAAGTGCGTTTGGCTGGAGGAGACACATGGCTGTCACTTAAACTACCATCCACTTCAGCTTTCTGAAAGATAAAATTAAAAATAATTTATTATTTCTATTGACACACAAAATTCTTAAATATGTATAGTATTTATCCAACCAATAAATATTTATTGAATCACACAATAAATATAAAATGTAAAAATCTGTAAATATAGAAACAACAAAGAAAGATTAAATGCATAATCAGAAAATTATGTTAGCTTGTTTTTATCTTAAAAAAGCCTACAGGAAATGTCAGTATATATATTTTGTGATATAATGCATCATTTTTCTACTAAACATATCCCAGCATCTCTGTGTCAAAATTAATACACTTTCTATATTCGCATCAATCCTCCCAATCAGCAAATCAACATTGACATAATAGTCAAGTCACAGACATATCCAAATTTTACAAAAGGTTACAACAATGTATCTGATAACATAACATTGTTGTATTATTTATCCAAACCAGGAACACGCACCATATTTAGTTAGCAGATCTCCCATCTCTTTCAATCTAGAACAGTTCTTCAGTCTTTCCTAAGCGTCATGTCCTTTGACTGTAAAGAGTACATTCCTTTATTCTCTTGGATGACCCTCAATCTGGGTTCTGATATTTTTCATAATCAGATTTAGGCCAGACATTCTTGGAAAGAACATATGGAGATGATACTGTATATACTACACTATACCTATCCATCATTAGATATAACCTTGATTACCTGGTCAAGATGATATCTGCCATCTTATGAAGTCATTAATTTTTCTTCTGTATTTGATTAATTTTATAGGAAATTATTCTAATCACCAATATTCTATTACTAGTTAAACCTCTTCCCAGCAGCCTCAACATTCATGACCACCCTAGACTTTATCCTATACCATTATGATAGTGATTCTCTAAATCCATCAGCCCTTTCGTATTTTCTGTTGGCATTCTACTTTTAAGAGCTTGCTCTCCCTGTCCCTAGCCCAATTCATTGACTCATTTATTTGTATCAGTAGAGACTCATAGATTCTTCTTATATTCTCAATGTATTCTAGTATTTTCCTTATTTATTTTGTTGTTCAAATTATACAAGATTTGGCCATAAGGTGCTTCAAAATGATTCCTGTAGGGCCTCCCCTGGTGGCGCAGCGGTTGAGCACTGGGCTGCGAGGCTGCCCACAGCCTCAGCAGTGCCGGTTCGATCCCCCGCCACCAGCGAGGGTCCCACATGGCGCACGGACCTCTCCTGCAGCCCGCTGCTCCCCTCAGCAGTGTACTTCGGTCCTTCTGCCTGTTCTTCTCCCCGCTCTGGCTCTGGTGAATTCTCTCGCCCTCCCACGCTTCTGACTGTACCCAGTGCTTGTATAAATAAATAAATCTTTAAAAAAAATGATTCCTGTATCCTTTTGACATGTCCCATGATTTTGATTATTTCCTTACTTTCTGGCACAAAATAATTTCCTAGACTCATCTTGAACTTTCCTTCCTTGGTCCTAGATTAGCCATTTCTCCAAGGGATTCTGGTTCATTTTAGTAACAGAGAGTATTTGGAAAGCAAGAACTGGGTACTGGGTGTGCTCATTGTTACTGTGGTTTCACTGTTATTAGCCCTCTCCTGAGAAAGCACTTAGGAAATATGTGTGTACACACACACATATATACACACAAAGACTTATTTATCTGCATAAATAAAAAACGTTTGCACACTGATGACTCCAATTCTAATTCCATATCAAAGTTTTCCTTTCTGGACTTCCCCCTTTTATGTTTATAAGCCTTCTCAGTGAGAAACCTGGCTTCCACATCTTCAACCTATGTGTGCTTTCAATTAATTTGCTTATGTAACCAGTCTCTCAACCAGAGACCTCCATTTATCACGCTTCCATCATTCCCTCCCAGCTGCATGTCCTCAGACTACAGCAAAGTCACTGTCTCTGCACAGGAGCAACCTTTACCTTGGATAACAGAGGAAAGGGGGGAGACTGTGAAGGGAAAATTAACCTTTTCATGTATAGATCAGTATTTCAAAAGTACATGATCATTTTTAATATGCTACCTTATAAATATCCAAGTGGTATTTCCTTTCATGCTATAAATTTCTTATGAGAAAAATATAAAAATCATAATTCTAGATCCTATTTTCCTAAAGCAAAACAACTACATTATACAAGTAATTGGTGAAAATGTAGTCACTAGCAAACATAAGAAATACAACATATGTGAAGGTACCCAAGTACAACCTATAGAACTAATTAACGTTCACTTCCTAAAATTTTGCATGAAAGGCCAATTTCTCATTTTGTGTTTTAATACAATCTACTATGAGCTAGTTTTAGAGCCGTAATACCACAGTGGTACTAAAAGGCACAAAGGGAAAAAAATTAGAAATTCAAACAATTAGAAATTCAAAAGAGTATCTATAATTAAGGATAATAAACATGCTGTTTGTGTAACATACACCACCACTTATTAAAGTTCCCACAAAAATCTGGTAAGCTACTTCAAAACTACGCTTAGCAGAGAAAAAAACATTTAAGATGCAAAGTGAAGTAAGTCATAAAGTGAAAGATACTGACTAGTTTCACTTATTTGTAAAATATAAATAACAAAAAAAACACACAAACCAGCAAAGCACAGCAAAAGTAAAAAGATAGTGGTTACCAGAGGGAATAGGAGGAAAGCAGAGAGGACAGGGGAAGGGAGAGGATTGGACAAGGTTGGAGAGTTCTGACTGAGGGTGAGTGATGCATGTGCAAATATGGAGGTGTGGAAAGGTACTCAAAACTTAGACATTTAAAGAACTGACAAATGAATAAAATTTAAGAATGTAAAGATGCAATTCATTCATATAATAGTACTTCATCAATAAATACATTTACTGAGCTTAATGAATAGTCTATTTTTAAGATTTATTTTTACTTATTTATATATACAAGAACAGTTGGTGGTGGGGCGGGAGAGGGTAAGAGGATTCACCAGAGACAGAGTGGGGCACAAAAGAGGCCGATCTACTGAAATACACTGCTGAAGGGAACAGCGTGGCGAGACAGGAGAGGTCTGCTGTGCCATGTGGGTTAGCTGCCCGGTTGGGGATAGAACTCATGCCGCAGTGGCTGGAGAGAGCTTGATAGCGATGAGGCTTAACCCCTGGGCCACCAAGGAGAGCCTGAATGAATAATATGAAAAACCATACTATTTCACTTCCCCAAATCCTTGCCTTCTCCAACCCCAGCCTGCAACAGAGCACATACTGAGATAGCTCAAAAGGCTACCAAATGGTTGACAAAATTAGAATAAATAAAGCCAGGACTTATGTCTTCCATTCCTAATATATAGTTTGCTATATACTAACTCAGTCATCTAACTCTACTATTCATCAGAGATTTGATTACCTGCTACATTTGTCACTCCAAATGTGCTCTACTCCAGACCTCGTTCAATCATAAACTGTTTGTGACTTTTGACAAGATCCTCCAGTGATTTTGTGCATATTAGGGTTTGAGAAGTGTACATGAAGGTTTGAAAAGCATTATTATGTAACACATTCAACAAGTAGTCCCTGAAGAAGCAATGTCATACATTCTAAGCTAAGGCATTTTTGTAAATACATAAAGTGATACCTGTAAACTACTTTAAAAATTTAGATAATCCAGGCCAGCATTACTCTTAAGCAAATCCCACCCTCACTCTTTAAACCCCATCTCTTGCATGAAATCTTACCTGAAGAATTTAACCTAAGTTGACCTTTCCCTCTATTAGTCACAACTGTACTATACATTTTGGGATTTAATTCAATTTAAATTACACATATGCATATTTAAAGTGTCATGTTTAAGTCTTGAGAGTCTAACAAGATTTTAAGTTTTTAATTACAAAAATACCCTATTTCTTTTTTTTTTAAAGATTTACTTTTTTTTTTTTTTTAATACAAGCACTGGGTACAGTCAGAAGCGCGGGAGAGTGAGAGAATTCACTAGAGCCAGGGCGGGGAACAGAACAGGTAGACCGACAAAATACACTGCTGCAGGGAGCAGCGGGTGTGGCAGGAGAGGTCTGCGGGCCATGTGGGACCCTCGCCCTGCAGCCGGGGATCGAACTGGCGCTGCAGAGGCTACGGGCAGCTTCGAAGCCCGGTGCTCAACCGCTGCGCCACCAGGGGAGGCCCCAAAAATACCCTAGTTCTTTTTAATTCCATACAATACCAAGCAAAGAAAAAACAAAATTTCTCCAAGTTTCTCGAACAAATTGTTATAGGAATTATTGGGGGAAACAAAGGAAGACTCATGGTGAAGTAAATCTAGGAAACAATGAAGTCTAAGATTTTTTGCAGTAGGATGTCTAAGAATTTTAATGTTAATATGCAGTATAATTTTTTTTTTTTTTTTTTTTTTTTTTTGCTTTACACACTAACAAGTTTATTCCATCTTACTAAATTTTCAATATAACCTCCTTCCATGAGTTGATTTAGTCATGGTGATACAGGCACATACATTTAAAACCTTATTGTAGGCTCTAGTTTTATCTAAATAATACAATTATTCAGATTTCTATGAAGTCGTCTTGTTTTGTTGCTAGTCTTTCTATGTGCAGTATAGTTCTTGAAATATGGAATCTAGTGCATATATTATTTTACAATCTTATTTGGTCAAACTTTTTTGATAGAGGTACTGAAGTTTTTTACAAACATAGTTTGGGTAATAAGTACTAAACACTGAATTAAAGATAAAAATAACAGAATATTTAAAGTCTAGTTACTTCTTAATTGGAGCTACCATATAACTCTTTGAATATCAAATTCAAATGATTTTGTGTTTATTTATGTCATTCTCTTATATTCTACTGGCTTTTTTCAGTTCCATACAGAAATGTACCTCAATGCCTTGTTCACATACTATTTAAATCAGAGATCACCTAGACTTCTCATTAATAACCTGCCGAACTAGAATCTCTGGATGTGGAATATGTTTAACAAGGGCCTTCAAATGATTCTTAGCACACAAATGTTTGAAAACCTCTGGCATTTTAATATAGTCTAAGAAGAGGCACAT